CGCCTTAGCCGGTTGAGCTATAGGCGCCGAGCCTCAGGTTTTACTTCTATTGCAATGTGAGGCTTTTACTATGGAAGGGGGTGTAGGGACATAGGAGCAGGTTTATGGTGGCTCTCTGAAAGGATCAGGCTGGTGAGGAGGCTGCTATAGGGGTCCATGCTGAAGAAAGGATCAGGTGTGCAACAGGAAGGTAGCAATGGGGGTGAGACAAGTAGGCAGAATCAGGGTATAGGTAGGAAGCTGCCATGAGATGATGGGCTACAGATTTCAAGGTGACTTGGGTAGAGGTCCCATTTCCTGACCTGATTAAGACAGAAGGAGGAGCATATATCAAGCCAAAGGCAACAGTTGATATCAATTCCTGCTTGCTCTTTGAAGCATGAGCAAAGCTCCTGGGAGACTCGAGGGGCTAGAAGCAGAGACGTCCCTTCCTTTTGCTCTGTGTTCTGTACATATTCCCTGCACAATGCCTCCTGCAGCCTCCTCTTTGCACTGAGGTCTCTGCAGGGCCCACTGAGAAGCACCACATGGGGCCGCTGCCCTCAGGCAGCACACAGCAGGGTAGTGACAAGGTCTTGTTTATGCCCTGCCAAGTTACCCAGCAGAGATGACAGGCATGACCCCACATGCTGCAGTGACAGCCCAGGGTGCTGACCTTGCTGTGACAGATGCAATCCTAGCAGCTCATACTTGGCCCTGAGAGGTTGAATCACCTGGTAGGAATCTCAAGGAAATGATGATTTTGGTTTATTGTCAGTCATGTCCCAGGGCCGACACAGTTATAGAATGTGAGGAGGGGACACATGAATGAGAGGTTGTCTGATGGATAGGGCTGAGTGGCATCTCTGGCAGGAGAGCTGAGGAGACAAGGCAAAGAGGGGTCAGCCATGAGTTCTGGGTGGCTAAAGCGTGGATACTTGAGAGAGTGATCAGGACAGAGAGGAGAGTGGGACAAGGAGACTAGCACGGACTTTGTCTGAGGGGTTCTGGGGAGCCCTGGAAGGACTTTAAGCAGGGGAAGGGCAAGATTGTCTCTGGGCTGTGTTGGGGGCACCTGGCAGGGAGGGGATTAGGAGGGGGGGGATACAGGACCTGAGCCTAGCAGGACCTAAGAATAGATAGGACAGGTCCAAGTAGAATTCGAGCAGGAGCACACAGGGCTAGGGACTGACAGGCTATGGCAGGTGGAGAAGGAGGGAGTGAGGATGGCAAAGGGGGTTTGGACCTGTAACCCAGGATGGTGGGGCTCCCAAGATGGGGGGTGGTGCTGAGAGCTGGTCTGGGCTCAGCCCAGGAGGTAATCAATGTCCTGGGGGGACTGGGTGGGGTGGGTGGGAATGGAGCCTCAGGTTTGGAGCTCAGGAAACATTTAGGAGACAGTTTATATTTGGTGGTGGAAACCACAGTTTGTGGTGGCAGTCTTTGAGAGTCACTGCCTCTCAGGGTTCTAGATGGGCAAATAATGCTGTCTCAGAGATGGAAATGGGAAAAGGGACAGGACAGGATGGGGCCAGATCCAAGCTGCACTTTATTCACACATTTATGGTCCTCTCAATCCTTTGCTTGGCTGAGCCATGACCACACCTCCACCTTATCCCCAGAGCCCTACAGCCCCGCCGTGTGGGTGATGATGTTCGTCATGTGCCTCACCGTAGTCGCCGTCACCGTTTTCATCTTTGAATACCTCAGTCCGGTCGGCTACAACCGCAGCCTGGCCACGGGCAAGCGTGAGTTACCTTCTACCTAACACCCCACCGACGAGCACTGGGGCCACAGATAGAACTACATTTCCCAGCAGCCCCTGGGTGGAGCTATAACTTCTTGAGGGGGCAGGGGCCCTGGGAGCCACTGGGAATTGTAGTTCTCCCTGCTCCCCCATTGAGCAGAAGCGATTTGGGGTCCATGTGCCCATCCTGGCACCTTGCAGGCCCTGGCGGCTCAACCTTCACCATCGGGAAATCCATCTGGCTGCTCTGGGCCCTGGTGTTCAATAACTCGGTACCTGTGGAGAACCCCCGGGGAACTACCAGCAAAATCATGGTGCTGGTGTGGGCCTTCTTCGCTGTCATCTTCCTCGCTAGCTACACAGCCAATCTGGCCGCCTTCATGATCCAGGAGGAGTACGTGGACACGGTGTCTGGGCTCAGTGACCGCAAGGTGTGTGGGGCCGGGTAGGGGGTGGCTAGGTTGGAAGTGACTGAGATTGGCATCGGCAAGTCAGAGGGGATTCCTGGGGGCCGGGGTCGCTTCCTAAGAAGTTCAGAATGCCAGGATGGAATGTTCTAGAAGGAAAGAGAAAGGCATGTTTCGCGATGGACTATTTTAAGATTCCTAGGGGAAGATGGTGCCCCTGAATGTTCTAGGGACAGTCTTGCCAAATGGGATATTCAAGACTAGTGCTTCTCTCAATCTGTGATCAAGGACTAATTTTTGAACCTTCTAATTTATTGGAGGCCAATGTTTTTGTAAAAGACAACAGAAATGACTAACTAGAAAAGCGAGATTTAAAATCAAGGCATACAAAAGTCAAACCCAAATGTTTATGTATTGGATTCAACAGACATAAAATCGTGCCCTAGTATTGCTCTAAACACCCACTGTCTCCACACCTATACTCGCCTCAGTGCAATCACAGTTTTTGTTAAGTTTGAGACTAAAGTGGTTAACTCTCCAGGTGTCCTGACCTATTCTAGGATTGAGACATCAATTTGATGGGTCACAACAAGCATATTTTTTAATGGAGTGGAATGGAATAGAATAGAAAATACGCTGGCTTCATCTTAAGAAACTTTGGTTTTAGTCACATACACACAGACACCTGATACTGAGGCAGCACACACCCATCTGCTACATCTAAGGTTTAAATAGTGAAGTATTTCTGAATGGATTTGCAAATAGCAACTGCCCCCAGCCCCTTCCATGCTAGCCCCTGTCCCAGGGACCTCACAATATCCATTAAGTTAAGGCTTAATGCATGGCACGTCTGCGGCCTCTTTCCAGTGACCTTTCAGATTACCTGTCTGCAGCTGTGTGTTCAGGGTGGGAATAGTACTGTGGTGTGAAACGCTTCTGGGACTGGGGTGTCTGCCAGATGGCCAGTGTCCCTCAGAAGGGAGCATTTGGGTCAGGGATGTCCCTGGGGAAGGCGCCCTAATAACACCCCATTCTGCCCCAGTTCCAGCGGCCCCAGGAGCAGTACCCGCCCCTGAAGTTTGGAACTGTGCCCAATGGGTCCACGGAGAAAAACATTCGCAGCAACTATCCCGACATGCACAGCTACATGGTGCGCTACAACCAGCCCCGCGTAGAGGAAGCACTCACTCAGCTCAAGGCAGGGTCAGCGCAGACTTGGGGGCTGGGGCCCGGGGCTGCTGGGGGTCCTGAGGATGCTCAAAGATGGGGAGGTGTCAGGGTTCATTTATCAGCCCCAGAGGTCAGCCCAGGGTGGGTCAGCTTGGAGGGCAGAGGTCACTGAGGGTGGGAATGGACTCCCCAATCTAGGATTAGGGTTCCTGTGATGTTTTCAATGATGCAGTAGTCATGGATTCTGGGTCCAAACTGCCAGGGCTCAAATCCTGCCTCTGCCCTTTCTGTGCTTTGTGAACTTGAGCAAGTTACTCAACAACTCTGAACCTCTATTCCTCATCTGAAAAATATGGATAATCAAAGCCTCCCCATTATGATGATCATAAGATCATTATAAGAAATCAACTAGTTAATCCAGGCAAAACACTACAACAGTGCCTGGCACACTGTAGGTTTCTGCTAACATTATTACTTTCATTCTCATTATCTTTAGACCTGCACTCATTGGAATAAATACTAGGATTATGGGGGTTTTCTTATTTATGTATTTATTTATTTATTTTTTATTTTTTTGGAGACAGAGTTTCACTTTTTCTTCTCCAGTAGAGTGCCATGATGTCATAGCTCACAGCAACCTCAAATTCTTAGGCTGAAGCAGTTCTCTTGCCTCAGTCTACCGAGTAGCTGGGACTACAGGCGCCCACCACAACACTCAGCTATTTTTAGTATAAATTTTTTTTTTTTTGAGACAAAGTCTCATTTTATCACCCTTGGTAGAGTGCTGCGATGTCACAGCTCACAGCAACCTCCAACTCCTGAGCTTAGGCGATTCTCTTGCCTCAGCCTCCCAAGCAGCTGGAACCACAGGCACTGCCACCATGGCGAAAAACGCCTGGCTACTTTTTCGTTGCAGTTTGGCCAGGGCCAGGTTTGAACCTGCCACCCTTGATATATGGGGCCAGCACCCTACCACTGAGACACAGGCGCTGCCCAACACCTGGCTATTTTTAAAGATGAGGTCTTGCTCTGGCTCAGGCTGGTCTCGCTGTGATCTCAGGCAATCCACCTGCCTCAGCCTCCCAGAGTGCTAGGATTACAGGCATGAGCCATCTCACTCAGCCTTTTATTATTTTTTTAACACCAGTTTCCCAAATCATAGGGATAAATTTTAGTTCAGGCCCCCAAAATGCAGCCCAAGGTTACAACAAAGTTAAACATAGGAATACTTTCATTTATTTAGTCCTTAACCATGCATTATTTTAGTCCTTAACCATGCGTTTCTTTTCTTCTCTCTCTTTTTTTTTTTGGAGACAGAGTAGTGGTATCACAGCTAACAGCCACCTCAAACTTTTGGGTTTAAGTGATTCTCTTATCTCAGCCTCCCAAATAGCTGGGCCTACAGGTGCCCGACACAACACCCGAATTTTTTTGTTGTAGTAGTTGTTGTTTAGCAGGCCCTGGGCCCGGTTCAAACCTGCCAGCCCCAGTGTATGTGCCTGACACCCTAACCACAGAGATAGGGGCACTGAGCCCGTGTGTTTATTTTCTTATCCCCTGCACTCTCCTAGGCAGTGAACAAATAGATGACAACTCCTAACCTCAGGGAGGTAGCTTCTAGAGGTGGGAAGTGAACAATAAACCTGAAAACAGAAAAATCAGCAAGATCATTTCAGAAAGTGATAGTGAGCTGTAGTGTGGATACACTGGGATATTTTCACCAGGGTGTTCAGAGTGGGCCTTCTTTTTTTTTTTTTTTTTTTTTTTTTGAGACAGAGCCTCAAGCTGTCCCCCTGGGTAGAGTGCTATGGCTTCACTGCTCACAGCAACCTCCAACTCCTGGGCTCAAGCGAGACTCCTGCCTCCGCCTCCCAACTAGCTGGGGCCACAGGCGCCAGCCACAACGCCCAGCTATTTTTTGGTTGCAACCATTATTGTTGTTTGGTGGGTCTGGGCTGGATTCGAACCTGCCACCTTAGGTGTTCGTGGCTGGCGCCTTAGCCACTTGAGCCATAGGCGCCGAGCCCAGAGTGGGCCTTCTTAGTGACAAGAGTTCTCACTCTGTTGCCTAGGCTAGAGTACTGTAGCATCATAGCTCACAGCAATTTCAAACTCCTGGGTTCAAGCAATCCTCCTGCCTCAGCCTCTCAAGTAGCTGGGACTATAGGTACCTGCTGTAACACCTAGCTAATTTTTCTAGTTTTAGTAGAAATATGGTCTCACTCTTCCTCAGGCTGGTCTGAAACTCCTGAGTTCATACATTCCACTCACTTCAGCCTCCCAGAGTGCTAGGATTACAGAATGAGCCACTGTGCCACACGTCTGATTTCTGTTTTTAAATGCCTGGTGGGCTGCCATGTGAGGAATGGATGGAGGAGGGGTGTAAATGGGACCAGTCTAGATCTAGATCACCTGCCCCAAAGCCTACTCTCTGCTCACCCTTTAAGTAGCCAGTCCTAACCAGGTCCTTGTTACCTCTATGTCTTTATTAGAATTGTTGGTCTGCAAGGAAAGGAACCCATTCAGTCTGGTTTAAGGGAAATAGATGAGTCAGTGGAAGGATACAGGGGAGTCTCTCAGAACCAGTTGCAGAAAGTAAAGCTAGGCTTTGTGGAAATGTGAAAGTCATTCATTTATTTAGGAAATTTTTAAAAGCACCAACTTCATGTCAGGTACAGTTCCTGCACTGGATAACAATAGTCAACAAAATAGGTCAGTTTCCTGGATAAGTTAGGAGTGTCTAAATAGACAGAGGTTTCTTTTTTCCTCAAAATAAGAAGTCCAGGGCTGGAATAAGGTGGCTGCGAACTTTGAAGGGCACAGGCTGTGGAATTAGTGGCTTTGGCGAGATTGGAATCATGGCAGGTCCAGAAACTGATGCCCAATTCCAGTTTACTGTTGATAAAAAATATTTCAACTCTATACTCTCACAGGTAGCATGAACTATGTATTGGCCACATATGGAAGCATTGCTTTGATAATCTTATACTTCAGGTTAAGATCTAAAAAAACTCCAGCTGTGAAAGCAACATAAATGGATTCTAAACTGTACTTCATCTGTTAAGTTTTCATGCCTAGAGAAGCTAATGTCACCTCATCATGTGATACTCAATTTGTACAATAAATTATGAACCTGGAAAAAAAGGTCTGGCATAGTGGCTTACACCCTTAATCCCAGCACATTGGGAGACCCAGGCACAAGGACTGCTTGAGGCCAGGAGTTCAAGACTAGCCTGGGCAACATAGCAAGACCTAGCCTCTACAAAAAATTATTTTGTTTATTTAATTTTTTTTTTTTTTTTGAGGTCGAGCAGGGTGGCTCATGCTTGTAATACTAGCATCTAGAAGGCCAAGGCAGGTGGATCACCTGAGCTCAGGAGTTGGAGAACAGCCTGAGCAAGAGTGAGTCCTCATCTCTAAAAATAGCCAAGCATGGTGGTAGGTGCCTGTAGTCCCTGCTACTTGGGAGGCTGAGGCAAGAGGATCACTCGAGCCCAGGAGTTTAAAGATGCTGTGACCCATAACGCCATGGCACTCTACCAATGGCAACAAAGTAAGACTTAGTCTCAAAAATAAATAAATAAATAAATAAAATTAGTTAATTGTTTTGTTTTGTTTTGTTTGAGATGCCATGGTGTCCCAGCTCACAGCAACCTCAAATTCCTGGGCTTAAGTGATTCGCTTGCCTCAGCCTCCCAAGTAGCTGGGACTACAGGTACCCACCACAATGCCCAGCTACTATTTTGTTTTTGAGACAGAATCTCACTCTTTTGCCCTGGGTAGAGAGCAGTGACATAATCGAAGCTCACTGTAACACTGAAACATAGCTCTCTACTGGGCTTTCAAGTGATCCTCCGGCCTCAGCCTCCCAAGTAGCTTGGACTACAGGCGCCCGCCACTATACCTGGCTAGTTTTTCTATTTTTAGTAGAGATACGATCTCATTCTCACTCAGTGTGGTCTTTTTTTTTTTTTTTTTTTTTTTGAGACAGAGCCTCAAGCTATCCCCCTGGGTAGAGTGCTGTGGCTTCACAGCTCACAGCAACCTCCAACTCCTGGGGTCAAGCAAGTCTCCTGCCCCAGCCTCCCAAGTAGCTGGGACCACAGGTGCCCGCCACAACACCCGGCTATTTTTTGGTTGCAGCCATCATTGTTGTTTGTCGGGTCTGGGCTGGATTCGAACCCCGCCACCTTAGGTGTATGTGGCTGGCGCCTTAGCCACTTGAGCCACAGGTGCCAAGCCACTCAGTGTGGTCTTGAACACCTGAGCTCAAAGGATCCTCCAGCCTTGGCCTCCCAGAATCCTCGAATTACAAGCACCCAGCTGAACAAATTTTTTTTTTTAATTGTACATCTATCCATTTATTCTTCCAAGTACAGTAGAACTTCTGTAACTTGACCACCCAAGAGACTATATCAAACTGGTCAACATACAGAGGTGGTCAACATAAGGCGAGGCCTACTGTACTGTACACGTGGTGTATGTCTGGCCTATGAAAATTAGGTCAATTTAAGGAGGTGGTCAGTGTAGGGAGGTGGTCAGCTATTGAGGTTCTACTGTATTTATCCAGTGTCTTTAATGTGTTAGGCTCCATTCCAGATACCTAAGTCCCAGTTTACTTGAAGCTTCCATTCCAGCAGAGAGAGGTGGAAAATGCACATTATGAATACCATCTCCCTTAAAGTATCTCTGAACTTACTTAATAATCTTACCATAGGGAGTTTCTCACCGGCCACCTTCTTTTCCAGCTATGTTTGCTTCCACTGGAGCCCCATCTGCTGCTTTTTTCTCTGGAAAACATTTTTTCTGCATCTTCTCATGGAATGCAGAGGTTCTGGCACCCCCATTGTTTGGGAGTTCCTAACAGTGTCATGGGGTTTTAGAAGCATATGATCCTGGGTTTGAAGGGCAGCTACAGCCCTTGCTTACTGTGAGCCCTGGGGAATTCAGTCCAACTCCTGAGCCTTCATCTCCACCTCCATATAATGAGGTCAAAAGCACCTCTGTCCATCAGGTGGCTCTGGGAGACAGGT